GCTTTATTTGTGGCTTGGGACAATAATCAGCTAAATGGGTAACTGCCTGATTTTTATGCATATCCTTGATCGCCAACCGTATAAAAGTTTGACTTCTAATGCAATAAATGGGTTTTATTGCTGATTATTCTCGTCCGTAAATATATGAATTGGAATTTAAGGTTATGATATTTTAATTGATTTTTATGTACCATAATTATGGTCAGATGCATGAAGAGATTCTAATTTTAGTCCGGTGTTGCATTCGTATTGGTACTACACTCTGTGATTGGCTTTTCAATCATAAAATTTAATCGGCTTTCTGAAGGAGAATCATACAACACATTAATAAATTTAATTTTATGCTATTATTTGCTATTAATATTATATCTTAAGCAAATATATTTTTTTACATTTCAATTTGATTTAAAAAAATAAAAATTTAAAAAATTAGAAATTTTAAATATTGTAAATTATAAAAAAAATTAAATGTTAAAAATTTATTACAAATTTGAAAAAAGAAACATTTTTAATGTTTAAATTTGTGTGCCTATTTTTCTCTCAACCAATTTTTTTACAATAATTGGTTTGTTCTGACTTGTTTAAAGAAAAATAAATTATTGAATTGAAATAAATGCAAATCAATTTTAAATAGACGTTCCACTGATTTATTTAGGACAAACACAGATATAATGTCTTAACTTGAAAATATTTTGAATTTGATTTTTTTATGGTACAGGATGTAGTTTGTGCCTATTGATATTTTACTGCGCACTTATTTCTTCTCTCTTTGCGGTTAATTGGTCTCTTCGCTAACTCTTTAATTGCACCACTGTAATTTGCTATCAAGCGCGTCTAATGCATATTATGTGCTGACTGGAGCCAAACACGTCTTGCCCTCAGCATTCCGATGACCTACCTCAACACGGAACTCTTCTGTCTCTCTTTCTTTCTTTATTTCTCTCTCGCAGAGAATTACGACTCACACAAGTAACAGTGTAGGTGCCATTTGAATATACTCAGATATTAAGTAATTAGGTTGGCAGCCGCGAGAGAGTCTTGTTCACCTCTTATCAAACCCGCAACCGCTCTTTCTCTCACATTCCAGATTAAAAACATCACCGTCAGATGCTCTTTTCTAATTAGAACGGCCGGTAATTCAAAGCTAATCGATGTCATGGATTAAAATATTTTATAATGCTTGTGAAAAAGTCGATAGAGAGGTGATCTGTTCTTCGGTAAACATTTGCCTTATTTATTTTATTGCTGTGGAGGGATTTTAATTAAAAATCGAATTGATATGCTTTCAATTATTTTAACACAACAAATTGGCTGTCACGAGTTATACGAATTTTATTTAATGTATTTTCCCATTTGCATAAATAAATTTCAGCAAATTTCCAATCAAAAGTTGGGAATTAATTATAAAAGTGAGTAAATGCATGCGTGGAATATTAAAATCTGATCAATTTAATTCGTTTTTGTTGCTCGCAGCTGTGAATCATAAATTAATTTCAAAATTAATTTGTTTAATCTACTTTCAATACCTAAATTTAAAAAATATTGGAAAAAGAAGTACACAAATCACACACTTGATATTTTTTATTATTAACAAATTAAAGTTTACTTAAAACTAAATTGAAGATAAATAGGATTTTCTAATTTATTTCTGTTAATAATTTGCTTTGCTGTAATCTTTAAACCCTCACAAAATTTGATATCTGCGCGATAACCCGAGTGAACTTTGTTTGCAAAACTGTAGCAAGAATCTGCGCTCTCAAATTGACATATTTAGGGCGCAAACTCGATATATTTAATTGTGTAATAAATTAAGATCTCGTACCTGTGGGGAGGACTCATATTCCTACGACTAATTTATAATCTGGATCAGGTTTTAAGGACAATCGGGCCCGCAGGGATCGAAATAATTATCGCACACATATACACACACACACACTGACGGCGGAGCGGAGGCTCTATTCCGAGAATGTAAAGCAATAAATATGAATTATTGGTGGCGTTCGCGAACACAACACTGCACACTGTAAATCTGCTCAAGGTAGCAGCACCAACAAAATGCATCTTGAGACGAAAATAATAATAAGCGGAGACGGCCGGTCATTTATATTTATTTCTACACATCTGCAATTTATTTGTTAAGGAACTTGTGTAGTGAGAGAGAAAGAAAGAAAGAGCCAAGAAATGAATGCAGTGCTTTGGGGTGGTCTTTGTCGTCATACACTGATAGCACCGAGCAGTGGCAACAAAACACGACCTACCTCTTTGCTAATAAATTTAATCGAGAGAGAGAAGAAGCTCTTTCTTTCTTTCTTCCCTTGAAAATATTTTCCTTCCTCTTTCTCAAAGTATATAAAAAATTCCCCGCCGCGTATAAATAAACTTGCGTCGTTCAAGATGCAATGTTAGAAAAACCTGCCTGACTGGATTCTACAATGGCCGAGGAGAGACTCCTCTCTTTTATAAAGAAAAAAGCGCAGGCGATTTTTATATATGTGTGCAGCGCTGTTCGAGCCGGCAGACTTCTTCTTTATATATGCGCTCCTTAGGAGATTTACTTTTTTAATCGCGCGGCGGCTTCGGCTTCGACGGCGGCGGCGGCGGCTTTATGGACACCGCAAGAGCGCACTTTCTGCCTGCCTGCCTGCCAGTCTGACATGCGTGCAATTTGAGTCGTCCGTCGTCGTCTCGATTTATAATATATTATGAATCCTGTCTTCTTATTATCTCTCCGACGCTATGCACACTCAGACGCTGCTTGGTGCAAAGGTCAATGACACATGCATGCGACACAACCAGAGCCTTGCATATTTAAACCGGCCCAAAAGTTCTTGATCAAATCCGATTTACTTCAAATTATCAAGATTTGCATTAAAAATATTAAATTTCCCAAATTCGCAAATTTTTGAAATGTTACGACATTCAGTGCCGTAAAATTAGTAAGCAAAAAAATAAAATTGTATCCAGCTAATTAAATAATAAGGTTGATGAAGGATTTTACAAAATTTATTAAAATAATTTGATTGATGATTTGAATTTTTAAAACAATTTAGGAAGCATTATAGAATATAATTTGACAATTTTATTCATCCCAAACATTCAGATAATTAAAATAAATTAAATTAATACACAACGACGTGCCGAATCAAATGAATTTTGATTTATCATGACTAAAATACATAGTTTAGCAGTTTATAAAAAAAAATTTAAAAAAACGACTCTCACAAGAATTTTTGCAATTTTCTAGAATTAAATAAAATAAAATATATTATATTAATCAAAAGCATAGTTTTAATAAAAAATATTAATTTAAATTTTAAATAAAAATTTAAATTATAATATACATTATAAAAGTTTAAATAAAAATTGTGTATATATTAAAAATATCATAAATTTTTTGTAATTTGTATTCCTTTGTTTGATGCAAGTGCATTATTTGCAAATGAAGCGGTCACCGAGCGGCGCGCGCGCACCGATATCATAATTCACAGCTGCAGCGACTCGGCGAGCACTCGGAGGTGTCAATTATGGCACGCAATCGTGGAAGGTATGCACTTGTGTGCACCCACACATCACGAGAACGGCGAGCGAAACACCGCGCGCGCGAGATGATGCTGCATCAATGGATCGGTCGCTCGCATCTTCGAGACCGTCTTGATATCGCAGACTCCCTACCACGATCACTCTTATCCCCTCTACCGCGTGCGCCCTTCTCTCCGGCTTGCCGCCGCGGCCCGACTATAAGATCGAGGTGCGCATGTTCTTCAAGGCATCATTATCACTGCCGGAGAGAGAGAGAGAGAGAGAAAGAGCACTGCCCCTTACAAAAATAACCAAAAATTTTCCAAATAAAAAAAATCGAAGATTAAAATAATTAAATTTCATTAAGAAAATAAAATGAATTTATCGTTTAAAATTTTGTTTTTATTTGAAAAAATTTGAGACGGGATATATTTATTATTGATTATTTACTGTTCGGTTCAATCAGGCGCGGTTTTGTTTTGCATAAAAAGCGGCTTTCATGGGTGATCATGTGTTTTGTCGGTCGCGCCGCGCCAAGTGGTCAAACCAGTTTGAGGGTCGGGGATGTAGCTGTTGGTATATCAGATGAGAGGCCTGGTGGTCCAGCGCATGCAACGTCTTGGCTGGCCTGTCTTTAACGACCCTGACCACGGTTAATAACATGCCCCACAGCCGTGCAAGAAGTATAGTGACGGCCGCGGACTGAAAGTTGGAAAGAAAGAAAGCAAGCAAGCAAGGCTTCCTGCTCGCCACGGCCGTCGCGCCGGTTGCATAAATCCGCGCCCGAACAAGAAAAGAAACGCATTTTCCGCGGGTATAAAAATCGCCGGGAAAAGACGACTGTTGATAATAAAAAAAAGAAGTCAGAGGAGGGTTGGCCGGGGCGGAATTAAAAAAAAGGGTTGAGCTTGGTGCAGGGGAGGGCGGAGGTAAGGAAAGAGTGGCGGAGGGAGGGATACATTTTGCGAAGCGGCGGCGGCGGCGGAGAAATAAGTGAGTAAAAAGGGTTTTCTCTCCTCTTCCACGAGACGTCGTGGAGCGCTAGCTGCTTGCTTGCCGTTTTCCTCGGGGTAGAGCATGTGGAGTTGAGCGCAGGCACCTCGCAGAAAGAGAGCCGCGCGGCACAGGAGAGAGAGAGAGCGGGCGCGCGCGAGAGAAATAATATACGTACACACACACAGAGTGTAGGGGCAGAAAGAAATCGCGAGAGAGGGGATAAAATTATAAGAGAGGGGTGGCTAAAAAGATAGTAGCACTGCTTGAGAAGAGAAGGGCTGTTTTGAGATCTAGTTTTGAGAAGACAGTCTTTCTTCAGAATCCGAACCAGAAGGTGCGATCTCGCGGGGCTCATTTGCATATCACGCCGCGGCGGACACATCTGTCCGTCCTGGTGGGGGGTGACCATTGTTGTTGATTGTTGTCCTCCGTGTGTGCGTCCGTGCATATATTAATGCATTTTTTTTTTCATTTCTCTGTTGCAGAAGTCAGTCAAAAGTCTGGCGCGGATTTTGACCCGGCACCCATACCAAAGAGCGGCCGCAAGTTCGTCAGTCTGATCTCACTCAGGACTTGTTCTTCTTCTTCTCCTTCTACTTCTTGTAACACCATGTGCTGCTGAAAACAACCAAAGTGACTCAAACTAGTGAATTTCGTCGAATGACAATTATTATTCTTTTTTGACAATTATCGTTTGTTGTTGCCCTGCGAGAGTTTATTTTTGTTGATTTCGCCGCCGAACAAAAAGTCGCGCGCGACAAGTTCCTCTTCCCACACCGCAAGCGATTTTCCCGACGCCAGTTCTACCAAAAACTGAACACATGACCGAAGTATCTAACCGGATCTTCAAGATGAATCCAGACTTTTGGCAGGCCAGGTCGCCAGCACCCGACCCTAAAGTCACAGAGAAGATAGTCAACGAATTACAGGTAAGACCCTTTCAAATAATTTTCCCACATTAAAATTGTTTTAATTTCAAACGCAAATATTTTTAAGTTAAACCGATATAAATTTAAATCAAGGCCAAAAATAAAGAAATTAAATTATTCGCCAAAAATTTCCATCAGCTAATATTGCAAAAAGTGTCAAAATTAGAATTTCTGATAAAATGTCGCTCATAATTTTGAACATAGAATACAGTTTATATTTCATTATTCAAATCGGTGTGGTTGAAATAATTATTTTAATGGCGCGGTTTTTCGGCTAGAAAATAGACGAATCGGGAAGTCCGCAGACCGGCGCGGTCGTTGTGGCCGAGGGAGCGGGCGCGATCGCCGCCGCGGGGCCGGCCGCCCGTCTACCGGTCTCGCCGCTCCAATCGCATCGATCTTTTCCGCCTTCCGAAATTAATTAAAACCAATTTTTGCGCGTCAATCGGTTCAAAACGAATTTCAAAGCGGCCAAGGATGTGTTTTCAGCGGTTCGAGAAATTTTCGCTGACGGGAAGAAGACGATAAATCTGTTGGCACGCGCTCTCTTAAAAATAACTTTGCAGACACATTGCGCGCCGCGAGATGACGAGGTGCATTCGCCAAGGTCTGCTCTCGCTCGCGCCAATGTGCAATTGCACTTGATGAACCCGCGGCCGAGGCTAAAAATAAAATTAAAAGCAAACCTCGAACGGAAAAGGAGAGTTAATCTTGCGCGCCGTGATTAACGCAGCGCAATTAGACGCTAGCTCGGCATACAAAGATATTATCGCGAGAGATGCCCAATGCACCTATTTAATTATTCGTCCTGCAGTCACGACACCGCGAACACTTATGCAGAAATAGAATTTATTATTACAAGTTCGGCCCAGACCGATAAATTTAAGAAATTATATTTTTTTTTCTGCCGACGAACGTTATCGAAAATTTTATGCTTTGCATGCATTTGATTAGTCTCGGCATTGTTTTTATTTTGGTGATTTTTGTGTGTTTTATTGGGCGCGGTTGAAAATATATCTCGGAGGCACGACATCGCACTCGGTACTTTTGTATTTAGCATGAAAATGTTGTAGGGCGCAATTTTATGTGAAATACCACTGCAGAGTAAAAAAAAACTAACAATAAGTTTTATCATTAAATTGCAAAGTATACTTAATATTTTTCAAGTCTTGAAGTTTACTATTTTCTGAAAAGTTGAAACGCAAAAATTAATGTTATAAAAGTTGTCTCAAAAAAATAAGATTTGCATTTTTTCTTCTTTTTTTTTAAATAATATTATTCCATATTTTGTAATTTGTATAAAAATTCTGTATAAATTACGGGTCGCAAGGGTTGCGAGTGATGGACAGTGGTGGCAGAAGGGGTGAGTTAGTGCGAGCGATTGCCGGTAGGTTCCGCGCCGTGTTTCATCCCCTGCGCTGCTGTGCGTGTTGCATAAGCGACGCGTGCGCCTGAACTGCCGAACATGAAATTAAATGCCACACACGGCTATTTTGCTCTCTTTGTTATTTCGCATGACACTTTTTGATATTAGCGCGGACGAGCGTATAAAAAGTCGCACGTGAAAAAGTGAAAGCAATATCAAAATGTGTATCACTGCAAAAATAATTAAAAGTCCGGACACGCGAATTGGAAATTTTTATTGCACTGAATATAAAATATTCGTACCGGCGCCACATGATATAATTAATAATTATTTTTCCATTTTACAAATGAACGCGTCCGTGGTCGCTTCCGACCCGCGCTTTGTTATTGTTTTTCTATGCAAATGCACCGCGATTATTTTTTATATATCATTTTTGTGTGTGTGAAAACGGTGTTAGTACCGCTGATGGAAGAGTTTTGGCGAAAAATTGTGATGCGAGTCGCGCGCGTTTGAATGCCGTCGAAAAAGAGCAATACATATACAAGTGTTGCAGAATTAAACCGCGAATAACACACGCGGTTTTTATCGTTTTTGTGCGTCGATGTTTAATGGTCTCGCATTTTATACGCCGATGGAAAACAAATGGCCTTTTATATTTGTCGCGTTTTACACTTTTAAATATTCCGTGATGAATGTAGAGGATTTTGTTTTTTGATACATATAAAAGCTTTGGTTTTTGGTTTATCTCTCTCTTTTTTAATTTTCTTGGCCTAATCGCTTGTAATGTTGAGGGGTGACGGTTTACTATTCTCTCTTCTTGTATTCTGCTTATACAGCTCGCAACACGGCCCAACAACCAACTCTCTGAACGTACCTTAGAGGAATGCTGGACTACCCTTCAACGTGTGAGTTGGCATCTATTCCGTTGTGTATAGTATCGTCCAGAATTTGCAAAAAGGCTCATTCAAAGCTTTCTCAATTTTTTTACCCTTTTTGCCCTTCAAAAGTTCAGAGAAAAAATATATCAAACACTCTATTATTTTCACGTTTTTGCTGTTGTTTTTTACGTCTTTTTGTTTCTATAACTTTTTGCGTTGATTTTCTATGCATGAGCATGTGTGGCTAAATTTTATACATTGTAACCAAAAGTGCAAGTCACTCAGAAATGAATATTTACAAAAGTGTGAACACTAAAAAAAGAACTTCTGGTGAATATATTTTCTAATGACGCCGCTGAATATTAAAAGGGTGGGAAAAAATGCACCCTGCAGCCGCCGTTCGCTTTTTTTCTCGCGCGCCAACCAATCATGAGGGCATTATTTTAACGAATGGGATTTTTTATTCATTTCACAACCGACTATATCTAATTAGGAACCCACATGAAAGTAGTGCCAAAGGGGTGGAACGCATTTCTGATATAATTCAGAAAGAAACAATGCAGGCTTGAAATAATGAAAAATTTCCAACAGCCATTGCAGGGAAAATATTATTATAATTCTTCCGTGCACTTTTCTTCTTCTTTCGCCTCGTCTCATGTCCATTATTATTATGTTGGCTCGGCCGCTTTTTTATTAGGTGGGGAAGTTTTATTTCGAGCAGTGTTCACTTGCGCTGCACGCACACATCTGCAAATCTAAAACTTCCTCCCCGGTAATACGTTATTGTATTATTGCTGCGCGCGGACCCTCCCCCTGCAGCGCCTGTGTAAGTGTAGTTTTCATGTTTTATGCTCTCGGTACGCCAAACATGCTGCTGATGTATCGATTTATTACATCAAAAGAAATCCTCCTTGTATATAATTACCTTCGGAAGGATTCGCCTCTTCCTCCCTGCCAGTCTGAAAGTTTTAACTAACCCACTAATATGAAAATCAATATTATAAGGATGGTAAATTTTGAATTAAAAATCCAAAATTAAAATTTGAATTAAGATATGGTTTGACTAATTAAATTTTGAATCGGTTTAAAGCCAGCAAAAATATACAAATTTATTTGATAATGAAAATGAAAAATATTTGGAGATTAAGAATTGATTGTGTCAAAAAAGGATAAACAAGTATCGTTAAAATCTTTATTAAGTAATATGACCAGAAAAGTTAATAACTTTATGAGTGAAACGAAAAAATAACATTAAGATTTTTACTTCCATTCGTTTATTTATTTGAAATTGCACTTAATAACTTTTGTTTCAAATGATTCATAGTGACCATTTAAGTAAAGCTTGAATAAAAAATCATATTTGTTAACCGTTCCTAATCAATATTTTTTCATTTTTATACACAATTTGCAAGTTTTTGGTGCAATTCTTGTAAGGGTTCGTTCGTGGGCGTGCAAGGTGGTGGCGCTGGCTACAGATTTTAAGCCGCACTGCAAATAACAAGAGGCGACACGGCGCCTGTAACAGTCGCGGATAGACCGCGGCTTCGGCTGGAGGCGCTGCTTATTTCCTCCCCGCGCTCCCTCTCAGCAAAAAACGCGAATTCGATTCGCCCGAAATCCGTCCGCGTTTCATTCTACATTGGGTTAATTACGCCGCGGCTCTAGGAAAGTCGCGTGATTTGCCAATTACACGGTCAATTTGCACCTTCTCAGAAACAACTGTCGCCATTTTTATATCGAAGTCCGAATAGTGCAAATCATTTCGGATAATAAGATTGGGCAAATAATGAATGCCACATGAGATCATCGCTGTGTTTTTTTGCTCCCATGTAGCGGGAGGAATCAATTATCTATTTGCAGAAAATGAGGAAAAACGCGTGGGAATTTGCACGCGAGCAAAAAATAAACACAATTTTCTGCACTTGTACCTACTTATAATAATAATCAAAGTCAAGAGGCTGCGAAACAGGTCTATTCAAATAATGCAGGAAGCGGTGTAGTGTTGCGAAACATTGCGATCGAAACTCTGCTGGCATAAAGTTATGCGCGCGATAAGTCTTTCTTCTCATTGTCGGCTCAATTGTTAACTCAATCGTTTTGTTGCCGGTGAATTAACGCATCAACTTGACAAGAGAAATGGATTGTTTTTGCAATGCACGCCGGTCTATCAAAGATGATCTCATTACAGCGTGCAAGGAAACGAAACGCCACGCACACGGAAAGAAAACCATTTTTTACATTTTCTATAACAATTCCCAACTCTCACTTCCCCCTTTTATTCGCGGCTATAATTATTCGCGTTGCGCGTTTTATTTATGTTTTTTCGCTATCAGCGGACTTTGATGTCATTCTAATCGGAGGTGGGCATCGTCAGAGTTGAATTATGCAAATGTCAATTGCGCGTATGTGTGTATAGAGGAAGTTGCACGGACGGAGAGAGAGAAAGAAAGAAAGGACAGCGCAGGTGCTACCATAGGCCGCGAGTTATCACTTTAGATTTATTGCTGCAAGGTGACTCCTCTTTCTTTCTGACTCTCTTAATTCAAAAGAGAGCATTGTCCAATTAACTTTCTTTCAAAGACCTCTTTAATTGAGCGGCTGCCTCTTTGGAATTTTTTTAGCATAACGAGTTTCGCTAAAATATTCAGACCATTTTCCGCCATCAGCTGGCTGATACGCAAATTTATCTGAAATTATTGCCATGCGATAATCACAACCTTTGCTGAATTGCACCGTCGATTGTACTGTACATAAATGCGTTACAAGCCGTGCTTATTATCATTATCTCATTTTTGTTGGTTTTACAAAAATATTATAATATTATTTCTGTACCTTAAATATTCAAACGCACATATCTCGATTGTATATTTAAATTTTACCAACATACTGCAGATAAAATTATTATTATATCAGATAAATAGGTCATCAATAACAATAAATTTTGGAAGTAATTTTTACTTAGACAAAAACCACAAAATGAAATGAAAACTAATAATATTAAATTTATAATTTAAAATTTTTTAACATTCAATATGCAAATTATAGAAAGAAAGAAATATTTAAATGAAAAATAAACTAAAATATGGTTTTAAATGATATTAAAAGTTTAATTAATTGCATTAAAAGTTTTTTACTTCACTTTTGGTTGTTACTGAGAAATCGTTTCAGCAACACAAATTTATCCACCCTTGTCTTAACATCAACCATATATTTAAAGCACAGATTTGGAAAGTAAAAAAATAAGAGTCTGATAAAAGGAGCAGCTCTCCTGTTTCTTCCTGTGTAATATTTTTTTACAAGACGCGTCCTTAAATTATAAATTTATATACCACTGCACCGGCAACACTCGCGTTTCTCATTCATTCGTTTTAATTGTGTGTGTACAGGGAAAATAATTTTTTCATCCGCACTTCTTGTGTTTTATTTCCAGAGTTATTTATTTGAACGGGAAGGGTTAAAAGAATGTGCCGCTCCACGCAACCCCTTTTCTTCTCAAAAGAAAAGAAAGGTGGGTCGTGCATATAAAATATAATGTACGACGAGAGCAGAAATGGAATTTTTTATACGCCTTCTCATTTTTCCACCCCTTTTGCGCTTCGTGCAGCCTCTTAAATATGATGAAACAAAAAAGACGATGTGTTTTTTGCTAATAGGATTAGATTAATATGCAAATTCTTCTACTCCTTGTGATGTAACGGAGATGCTGTCTTCCTCTCTCTCTCTTTGGCTACTTTTTTCTACTCTCGAAAATTTTACGGCGTCCTCATTATGCGATATGCACGTCCCATTTTTTTTCTCTCTCTCCGAATTGCACCCGTGAGATTTAATTAAAAATTACAGCCGGTCATGCAGCTCGGAAAAAAACCGTTTTCCCATCGCTTGTCTTCTGCAGAGAGTGACGAAAACTTCCAGCAAAATGCAAAAGTATAATATTTTCCAGTCATCAGCGGCACGCAAATTTGTACACGTTCCCCCTTCACGTGTAATTTCGCCGGCAAAAGATTAGAAAAGTTGGTGCTGCGCTTTTTTTGATCGCAATTCCGGCGGCCGGAATTAAAGAAGAGAGGCAAAAGTCGCTTATTATGTGTAATCTGCGTCTCGCTGCGGCGGCGGAATGGGAGCCCGCGTGACTCGGCTCACTTTGACTTATTCATAGGTGTTGAATTTTTCTTGCACAAAGTGTAATTCGTCCACATTCGGTCCTGCTGCCACACGTGGCAAGCCAGGAGGAAAAATCAAATTTCAAAAATTGCCTTTTGCCGTGTTAAAAGCCCATAATGAAAGCCCCGCGCGAGCTAGATTTTCAATAACTCTCTCGCGGTTGGATTCGATTATTATTCCTTTTGCTCTCTTTTTGATTAATATTCGATGACAAAGCATCAAGTTATAATTTGTTATTTCTTCTGCTCGCACTGCGCGCGCCCTTTGTTAAATATCAATTTTTCCTCTCTGCACCGAATGTATTCTGCTTGACGCGTTTTCTTCTCCCGATGATTTATTTAACTTTTTCCCGCCGACTAATTTGCTCACGGCACCTCAACCCTTTCTTTCATTCTTTTTCCGATCCGAGAGAGTTTCGCCGAAGAAGGGAGAATTCTTACTTTTTCTTCTGTTTGTTTTATTGGAATACCAGAAGAAGAAATCGTCTTTCGCCCGCGTCGCCGGGAGTAAAAATAAATTTTATTAAAAAAGAAAGAGCCAAAGAGGAAAGACTAGTGCCTCTCAAAGTCGATTATTATGAAGAAGCAGCAGGAGCAAAAATTTTCTCTCTCCTGCTCTCAGGCAGGTACGGAAAGGGATGAGAAATTTCATTAAATTCCGTCTGCCTTTTATTGCCAATCTTTATCAGTCTCGAGAATATCTGAATTCTTTAAAAAGATTTTGATGCAATCAATAAATAGTTGCAAAAAATATAGTTAGTAGTTAAAACATTTATTATTTCTTTAAAGTGCAGATAATAAAATTATTTAATTATAATATTTACAATTAATTTACCCATTTAATCATATAAATGAAAACAATTTACATTTATAATTTTATGTTTTTTCTCT